GGGTTGTCAGTCTCTGGAATGGGCTGCCCAGGGAGGTGGTCGAGTCCGCATCCCTGGAGGTATTTAAAAGAAGGATAGACGAGGTGCTTAGGGACGTGGTTTAGGGGTGGGATGTCAGGGTTAGGTTAAAGGTTGGACTCGATGATCTCAAAGGTCTTTTCCAGCCAAAGTGATTCTATTCTATTCTACTCTATTCTACTCTATTCTGTTCTACTCTATTCTACTCTATTCTGTTCTATTCTATTCTATTCTATTCTAGCATTGGCAGCGTCCTTCTCTGTTCCTCTACATGTGAATACGTATCAGGGAATTTATACCTCTTTTCAATAGTATAGCAGGACAGGCATCTGTGACTAGTGGGAGGCATATTAGAGAGGTGTCTCAGAGATTTCCTCCTGGTAGTGATTCAGTCACACTTCACAAAATAAGGCCCTGAGAAGTTGTATATCAACTAACAGCACGATAGATGGCTTTAGCATTCAGCCGCTGAATTAAACAGCAGACATTGCTCCCTGTCGTTATCTCTTCACAATGCACGCTGTGTCAGCTTTTTACAATACTTCCAGGTGAGGAAAAAAAATGGCATTAGCACTGCTGGATTAAGAGCAAATCTACTTTTTTGTGAGCTAGTATTTTGGGAGATGGTACCTATATAATTGTCTATTTGATGGCCTCTGAAAAAATTAGCTTTGTCTGCTTCCTTCCTCTGTCCATCAGGATGCAAAATATATCTGAAGGCAAAACTTGCTTAATTTGTTTGAGAAAATTCCTGTAAGTAATGTCCGCTTGTGTCAGCATCCACATTTGAACACTGCCATGTGTGGCTTTGTAGTACTCATTGACTGAGCTACTAAGGACTGCGCAATTACCATTTCACTATTTTTTCTGAGGAAACACCCTAAAAGAAACTTTCCTTCTTTTTCCAAGGGAATATACTAAAGGAAGTTTTACTACTTCTTATTTTAACAGCTGGAAAGGAGCACTATGATGGAAAATATTATCAAGACAGAAGAGGCTCAGCTCTTTCTGAGTCATACTTCAATGACTCTGAGTAAAGAATTTTATCATGGTATGCAGGAGACAATTGCAAATCTTCCTCTTATCTAATGTCAAAAATATGCCTACTACTGGGTGTCAGCTATGCAAGTTATCCAGAAGAGGTGGAAGAAAAGGGATCCAAAAGGTCTCTGCCTA